TGTAACTAGTCCTTGTTTATCCTTTACACAGTCAGCCGTTGTGTACGTACATAACGTACATGACACGGCAATTCAGGCCTCATTGTGGACACCTCATAATTGTTTGCTTGTGTAGATGCAGTTGGAGAATGGAGGTGGTAATGCCACTTCGCTGAACGCAGCAGTTTTTACACTACGTTTTCCACAGCGCAAGACATCTCATGAACTACTGATAGACAACATGGTTCATGGCAGTGGCACAATTCTGCAATATATCATTTCACACTACCATGACAATAAAGTGATGGAACTCAGGGTGGATGAACGGTTCGTATTGGGAATTTCGCCTGAAAATTATGATCGACAAAATGCTGAAGTAGGCGTGCCGAACTGCGACACTTTGCAAAAACTTGCAATGCGCTCATACTACTAAAATAATAGAAGTGTCAGACATTCAAAGCCTGCTAGATGGACTTACTGGCTCGAATATGCAATTTCAACACAAATGTACTATTATTTAGTTGGTAAAGGAGCTTTTACGAAGCAATCCGTACCATGAAAAGCGATTCTGTTCACCCTGCACCTTTTACATCAAGGTCTTCAACGGAACAAGAAACAATCGAATATTTGTAACCGTGGAATGTCGGTCTTTCTCAAGTTTTCATGGTAAGGCTCTTTTGGTGCCCTTCCTTCCATGAAGAACTTAACGATGGGGCGCTGATTTCCATTTACATGCCATCAGCAACAGGAGCGCCATATTTTTGAAGACAGACTCTACAACCATGTGGCAAGCGTAACATGTAGTCAACTGTTTCCTTCCCATAGAGGGGCACTCATTTATCAACCTTGGAACAAAGAAGGGCGAGTTACCCTGACCGAGACATAAAACCAGTACTTCTCGGTTCTGCGCGGACGAGGCTAAGCGACTGCAGCCATGTGTAATAAATTCCTTACTCAAGGGGATTTTCAATTAAGACAAAGTTTGCCTTCCGCCGGAATCGAACCCGGCACCTCCGTAATTCGAAGCCAACATCTTAGGTACTGAGCCACCACTCAAACTGTGTCCATCAGCAGTAACGCAAACCGGATCAACACATATTCCATTCAAATATCGCATCGAGACATTCGGGCAATCGGCATTCCTTATGGATGGTAGAAGAGGAGACGCGATTTATGAAACAGACCGCAGTTAACACGAAAATTACCATCCTTCGTTTATCTTTTTTCTGTTACTTTGCACAGTGCAGAGCTGTAGAGATTAGTCAGTAACGTCGATAAACTGCTTAAACAACAATCGCTACCGATGCAAAAAATTACAGTTAAACAGGACATCATCTAGCTGATAAGGAGCAAACGGGCTGGCTGAAAAAATCACATATGGGACATGCTTTCAGTATAGTATTAATTAATATTTTTAGGCAGATTTAAGTCGCTTCTTTCAGCGTTCCACTTTAAAAACTAATGATATGAATAGAATGATCTTCACGTGTTCAAATATGTGAACAAAGAAATAACTGTTCTGAAACGTTATCTTTATTTATAATGTGATTTCACTGTGCAAGCGCACATCGGTGCAAAAAATTGTACAAGAAAAGCTGCGTAGCCACTGTACAGACAGACACGAGAGCTGTTGCACAGCGACGTCTGCAGTGGCAATGTCAACTGATCATTCTCATACAAAACAATGATCCTGTACAATTAATTACACCGCCTTCAGGACTCGGACGCTGACTCGACGTAGTCGAAACGATACTTGACGTTGTTGCTTGCGACGGGGCGTTCTCCAGTGATAATCGCCTGAATCAGCCATTCGGACGAAACCACATCGGCACCTAGCTTCTCAGCAACACCCAACAACTCTTTTGTACAACTGGCATCAGTCAAAAGGATATCCAACTTGGATCTTGGATCACCTAAATTAAACAAAATGAAATATGTCAGTTTAAAATCAACTAATCAGAGAGAGTACTTGGATCAGGCATTATTGGAAGCACTTCACCACCCATGCATTTCAACAGAGGAGCCCAGATCTGCACGAAATCTAAAGCCGCCAAATTGTTTGGGTGATTCTCAGTATGGACGTGGATGGTAAGACCGTCTAAGAGATGTGGACACTCTGAATGCCTGAAAATGAATGTATGGTTTATGACTCAGACAGACCTAACTTGATATTACCATTCAACAATGCGGCCAGTTTCCAAACTTAGACCGGCTGGTAATACGTAATTTTTGTAGTCCAGCAGCTTCTTCTAAAAGCAGCCAGATTCAAAGGCAAACTCCACCATAATAAGACAGTAAACTCTACCTCAGAAACACAATTATGAATCCAAATGTGACTGACACATGGAACAGCAAACACCAGAGCAGAAAGATACTTATGTGTACGATAAAATTTGTCAGCGATCAGGAAACAGTTACTTCTGTCTGCCTACATAAAAAGCTAATCAAACAGGCATGACGAAATGAGTAATCTTAAGCGTACATCAAAGTCTTCCAAAACCTGTCCGCCTCGCTCTTCGATCAGCTGACGCACTAGCTTCTTCATAAAAGGAACCGGTGGCTTTTCTTCTAAAAACAGTCATCAACAACAATTCTAAATACTATGTAAATGTGGCAGTGCCTTCTTCAGAAGGGGTAGAGAAATCCCGAAGTCGTCTATTAGATGATGTCAGAACGAATTTTAACTTGGCGAACACTTGGATATTTTCTAAAAAAACATGTATGCTTAATTAACTACTTTAAGCAAATAACTACTCACCGTTCTTCGTACTGCGGACAACTTTTGGAGTTCCGGCCCCAGTTTCGGTTTCTAAAAAAATCGACTGTTGTACACATGTTAAACCATCCTATAATATCACACATCATATTCATTCATGCTGTTTAATGGAAAACAAGCATCATGCTCCTAGTATCAAGATTAAACAACAGTAATACACGGAAAATAATGATTTAAATATAAACAGTACCTGCCAAAAAGAATCTTTAAGACCTAGTTTCCAAGGGCTAAAGATGATGAACAAGCATGTTCGACTAGCCGACTGATGTTGTTTAATTACGGCATTTCATCGAAATTAAATATCTGAGCAAGTTAATGGACAGACAGAAAATAAAGTAAAACAATTTTTATTCATAGGTAATGAACCCCTTTGAAAAAAAACAACATAAGACATATGCACCAAATAAACTAAGTTAAAATATCTAAAGCAGAGTAGC